ATATATATATATATACAATGGAATATTATTCAGCCTTAAAATAGAAGGAAATGCTGTCACATGTGACATGAATGGACCTGGAAGACATTGTGCTAAGTGAAACAAGCCAGTTATGGAAAGACAAATACTGTATGATCTCACTTACATGTGGAATCTAAAATATTCAAACTGATAAAAGCAGAGAATAGAATAGTGGTTATCGGAGGGTAGAATGGTGATAACCAGGGGCAGGGAAAATGGGGAGATAGATGTTGGTCAAAAAGTACAAAGTTTCAGCTATGCAAGATTCATAAATTCTGGAGGTCTATGTACAGCATGGTAGATAGATAACAATATTGTATTACAGACTTGAAATTTGCTAAAAGGGTACAACTTAAGTGTACTCACTATACACACCCACAAAGGGTAACTATGTGGTGTGATGGATATATTAATTAGTCTGATTGTGGTGATTATTTCACAGTATACACAGCTATGAAGTTTTGTACCTTAAATGTATACAATAAAAATGGCTAAGATGGTGGATTTTGTGTTATGGGTATTTTACCAAAATAAGAAAAATTGGAGGAAGAAAGACAGTGATTGATAGTTGGCCACTTTTTTTCTTCTAAATGCTGGAAATGAGGATGAAATTACAAGTACTATAGTCGCTAGGTCACACTTTATTGGTCCTGCCTATAAAGTGGGAGGAGAGAGGGAACAGAGTGACATTAACAGTTATTAAGCACCTATTCTAGGCTAGGCAGTGTGTTAGGACAGTGTATATGTATTATCTCATTTGATCCTTATGACAATAATGTGAGATTGTGTTACCACCTATTTTACAAATGAAGAAATACAGCCTCAGAGTAGTCAAGCTGATTGCTCTAAGTCACACAGCTGGTCCTGAAAGCCAGTATTCTAGTTTATACTTTTGTATGATACTTCTTACCCACACACAGAAGGTAGAAAAAATACATTCCCAAATTTCTCTTAACATTTGGGAGCATGAAGGTTTAATTAAGTTTACAATTTAAAGTTACGTTCACTGATGTTCACTCTAAAATAATGTGATACTAGAGAGTGAAGAAAGCTGAGCTTTGTTTCCCATCCTATTTGGATGCTTTGCTGAATCCAAGGGATTTTAAGTTCAGGTTTGTAAAAACAATAGCTTTAGTCCCACATTCTGTTAAGACAACTTTTGTTCTGACTATATTGATCTTTCTGAGGTCAGTATGTTGTGACCAGAGCAAGGGTAACCAGTGGTGACTGTTAGCCTGTTTTTGTAACATGGTATCCCTTGTGAAAAGGAAAGTCCACAGTGTGTTCCACATGAGCATCAGCTGAATTGATGGCTGTGTTCAGTTTCACATGAGACAATGGCTCTGGGAACAAGGTACAGGACAGGTGTCATGTCTTGCCTGTGTCTGCCTTTTTTCTAACAGCATAATCAGGTCCCTTTTCCCCTGAGCTGGAGAGAAAAGAATAATGTCTCTACATTGTGATTCCCTTGTCTCTTGCTACAGAGGGAAGAAAAAGGAAAGGAGAAGAGGAGAGCAGGGAGGGAGATTCCTCTATAAGCCACATAAAATTATATCTTCTCTTTGGTCTTGAATGGTAAATACTGTACCTGCCACACCAGATAGGTCACCAACTGTATGCCAAGATGGTTCTGAGAATCTCTGGTTTTAAATTTTAAAATCCTAGATTACTTTTGATTATAGATACAATATAATAACTACATTAAAGGAGATTTAAAACTTAATTCAGCAAGCCAGTGGTCAGCCTAACCCAATGACAGATTCCACTTTTGCACAGGATCGTGCCTTTTTGAACACTATTATTTCTGGTGCACTTCTCAGTCACTTTTTTTTAAGCTTCTGTGATGATATTTACTATTTCTGAAATGGGTTGAATGTATATGGCTTGTCATTGAACCCTCCCTCTTTGGCCTCTGGAGATCATGTGTTTGTAGTTCAAGGAACTCACCTGAGTCTTGCCTTTAAGAAATAGTCCATTTGTCTGGATTTGTTCAGATAAATAAAGTAGCAGTAGTAAGAGTAATAATAATTAAAGCTCACACTAATAATATTATATTATTATTTCATGTAATCCTCCTTTGAGATAGATGAACTGTCATTGTCTATGTATTACAGCTGAGGAAACTGGTGCTCAGAGGGCTTAAATAACTCTCCAAGGGCTCACAGATAGTGAATAGTGAAGCCAAAATGCAAATCCAGCCTGTCTTGCTCCAGAGAGAATATAGAGTGAACACAGATAAAATTTCTTAGTTACCAGGAAGTTGAGTCTCCATTAATAATAAGAAACAACTATGGCAGAACCAGATATAGTATGTGGTAGATGAAGAATCTAAAGAAAGAATAACTCACACCTTTCAGTCCCTTTCTGTATCAAACATTCTTGCTCTAGTTGCTTTTATTTTCGTTGGAGTCTTACTCATTTTCATCTAGCAATCTCCCCTCTCCAGGATGGAAGCCACATGAGACTCTTGAGCGTTTGAAATGATGCTTGTCTGAAAAGAGATGTGCTATAAGTAGAAAACCTCAGATTTAGATTTTGAAGACTTAGTATGAACAATTATATAAAATTTCTCATTAACAGCTTTCAAAGTATTGATTGCATGTCAAATTAAAAGATGTTAAAATTAATCTCACTTATTTTTAAAAGTATGACCATCAGAATATTTAAAATTCTTTTGACTTGCATTGTATTTCTACTGGACAGAGCTGCTTAGATTTACTAATTAGTATCTCTCTTCTTTGAGTTCTGCAGACTAGATGATGAAAGGTCTGTCTTCAAGAGCTTTACCTTTGGAACTGGTTTTAGCCATTTGAGGTTCAAAAGTCAGTGTTAAGCCCCTAAACTTACTGTATTTAGTTTATTTATTTTAACAAGTTTAACTGTTTATACCCAATACGGGGAGTGATAAGGAAAGCATTTTCTTTTGCCTGCTTAGCCCTTGCTTTGCTCTGAAATCAAATCTCTGACCAAAACATGGCTGCTACCCTGTCCTGTGACCACATGATTGATTTTTCTTTTCAAACTGGGATGTGTGCTGGGGAAAGAATTCTTTATTTTTCTGCTCATGGGCCAGTTGAGGAATTCCAAGTTGCCTTTGAAATGTTTAAGAAATGGTATAGCCCATTATTATCTCTTTCTGCTAGAGAACCTTAAGCATTAGTTATACTGCTATTGCCATCAACAATTTCAGACATGTCTCTTAAATGTTGTGTATCCAGAAAAAAGAAGTCACAGCCTCCCTGCTTAAGGAACTTGGGACATTCATGAGAAGGCAGACTTTCTGATCTATTAGGCAGCGGCAGAGACTGAGTAATCAAGAGTAAGATGGTGAGGCTCAGTCTCTAACTTCAACATAGAGCCAGCAAAGAGAGTGAGCTCTGTGGCCTGCACCTTAAGTGTTTGGGGAGGGCTTTTCGAAGGCAGTGAGCCTGGAGGGATTAGTAGTTTTTGGACTGTTCCAAAGTTAGCAGTGTAGGCTAGGATGGTCACAGAAATGGGGATGAAGTTGCCAGGGGATGACTCGGGGAGGGAGGGAAGTAACCCCTGGGAACTAGTTACAGGTAAGTGTAAGTGAGGTTGTAAGTGGGAATAGATGATAGGGGTCTAGAGTCTCAGTCTGATTCAGGGGGAACCCAATTGTGTGTTCCTAAGCAGAGTCAGACAATGAAAACTCCAATCTCATGTTCTGAGGGACCGCATGTGATTTTCTGATCTTCTGTTTGTCAGTGTGGAAGTTGGCACACAATGGCAAAGCATTAAAACACTTAAATAATTATATAGTATTTATATGTGTCAGACACTTTATTTTTAAATAAATACAAAATTTTAAAACAAATACATAATTATATCATGGCAAGTGAAACTGCTTCTCACTTATAATAGTCAATTTAAAGCCACATATTAAGTTAATGATACTGTAAAAAGCAGGTAGATGTAACAACAACCTTTAAGGTTTTCATCTTGCATTTTACTGATGGACACCTGAGCCTCCAGAGGCCCCAAAACTTCACACAGCAGATTTATCTAGCAGTGGCATGCAGGGCAGGTTGAGAGTTGAGTAAGGAGATCAGTTAGCAAATTCTTCAGGAGGGAGGTGATGGGAGTCTCGCTCTGAAGTGGCGAGAATGGGGAAGAAACATGAGTGCTGTTGGTTGGGCCATTGCTCAGGTAGCTGTTGTCATGTGTCTGTTTATTTGTCTGTACACTTGGGTTAATCTGTGATGACCATTTAGGGTGCAGACTCCTGGTGTGTTGCAGTGGTTCTGTATGGCAAATTTAGGGGTGCCAAGAGAGAACTCATAATACAATGCTGACATTATGGAGTGCTTATCGTGGGCCACACATCTTATGCTAAGATCCTGAGTTACCTCTTTCATTCCTAACCATAATTCACTGAGGTATCTGCCATTATCCCCCGTCTTTTATAGACGGGGGAACCAAGGCTCAGAGAGCTACAGTAGTTTGCCACAAGTCACACAGCTGGGATTCAAACCCAAGTCTGTCTGACTGCAAGGCCTTGAACCATCATGTATACCGCCCCCCTCATTATTGATAGTAATGACTGTTGATAGCATATTTCTCCTGTTTCTCCCTCATTTAACCTTGAGTAGGGGTTTCTATGACTTAGCTTGGAACTCAGCATTGGAAATAACAGAAATTCACTAGGCAAAAAGCTCCATTTCTCACCCCCCGTGCCACATACTTATATATCTTATTCTATGGTTTATATCATCATTAAAGTGGCTCTACTTGGCCCTTTAAGAAGCTAATTAATCACTAAATATAAACCACAACTTGTTCTTTTCAATCCTCTGCATGTTTCTTCCCCCCATTGTGTGATGCCATCTGGTGCTATGAGCTCATGCTTTTTGTGTTCCTTTTCAGAGAGCCAGATTCATTGCTCTCTAAGCCCAGAAAGCCAGTTAATTTCAAAGTTTGCATGTATGACTTTGAAACAATTGGAATCTAATGCCTCCTTGTGGATTTTCACAGTATAAATTATTCCTTAACATAACATCGCGTGGAACTTCCGTCTTTACCACCATCATATATATATGTATGCTCCTCTTTTTATCAAAAAGACCTAATTTGTCTTTGGTTGCTTGATTTGTTCTGCCAAGCAACTACAGGTCTTTTCCTATAATATTTTAGTTGTTTCATTTTGTCAATTTAATACATGTGCTGTAGGGAGCCAAACCTTAATAATATTGCTTTCCTCTTCAAATCTGTCTGACTTTCTGCTATGACAGTGGAACAAGTGTTTAAGAACAAGGACATAAAACAGCTAATGGCAGGTCTGTAACACTGCTGCTGAGCTGTCTTTGATTCTCACTTTCTCATTCTGCCTGAAGTCTCTAATCATCTTCCAAGGGAGTGGAACACCTGGACCATAGAACATTTTCTTGCAAACTCAGCTGTGGAGCTCTGGGCTCACTACCAGACCCTCACTCTTTGGAGTTCTTGAGTACTTCTTGCTCCTGTCAGCCCAGATCTCATCATTTTCCCTACCCTCTTTCTCTTCTCATTTCAGAATTCTTGGCACTTTAAATTTAGCCTGAGAGCCCCATGGAGAAGGAAAGGGGATTTAGTGATGTGTGCACTACTTACCTCATTCCTGGCACATGCAGAGGAAGCAGGAGAACCCTGGGCCAGCTGCCACCTCCTTCCTGTTACTTTTCTTGCCCACTGGGATCCTGCCCTTTACAAGCAAGGAGTAAAGCAGGAGATGGGCCTTGAGAATATATGCAGTGATTTAAAAGGGACCACACATTTCCCTAGCATGGAATCTGTTCTAAGGCCAGCTCTTCTGAGTTTGAGAAAATAGTTTCTCCCCAGTTCACACTCTCTCCAGCATTGAGCAGCTTCTGCGCGTTGCAGGTAGGATGAAGCCGCTGAGTCAGCCATGTAACCAACCCAATATCCTTCAATTAAGAATCAGCTTTGTTTCCAGAAGAGCATATGTTGGTGCTAAATTGGAAAGATTGTTTTTTATTTCAAATTGACAGTACATGTAGTAACTCTAGATTAAGCATCCACAAAATTAAGATGTATTTCTAGAAAACTAAGGCCTGCTAACTTTTCTGAGTGACAGGATTTAATATATAAAGTTTGGGTAACAGCATATATGTTAAAGCTTGGTTACAACCTTGTACCATGGCCTCAGACTAGTTACTTAACTCTCAGAGCTTCAGATTGTTTTACTCATTTAGTGTAGTTAGTAATACCTTTTATATTTAGCTCACAGGGTTGTTGATTAGTAGCAAATGGATTTTGTCAAATGCCATTTCTACATCTTTGAGATTATCAGGTGGTTTCTGACCTTTATTCTGTTGATATGGTATATTGCATTAATTGATTTTCATATATTGAAACAATCTCGCATTCCTGAGACAAATCCCACCGGGTCATGACATACAGACCTATTCAAATGTTGCTGAAGTCAGTTTTCTAATATTGTGCTGAGGAATTTTGCATATCTATTCAGAAGGGGTAGTATGTAATTTCCTTTTCTTGTGATGTCTTTGTTTTTTTGTATCAGTGTAATACTGGCCTCATGGAAAGAAGTAGGAAGGTTCCTTCATTTTCTATTTTTTTTGTTTTGAAGAGTCTATGAAGGATTGTTAATTCTTCCTTAAACATTTGGTTAAATTTACCAGTGAAGCCATCTGGTCATGGACTTTTCTTTGTGACAAGTTTTTACTAAGTTAATTACTAAGTCAGTTTCTTTACTTGTTATAGATGTATTAGATTTTCTATTTCTTCTTGAGTTAGTCTTGGAGTTTTATATTTCTAGGTATATGCCATTTTATCAGTTTTATTTAATTTGTTGGCATGTAATTTTTCACTGTGTTCTTTTAAGCTTTTCTGTATTTTTCTAAGATTGTAATAGCCTCTGTTTCATTCCTAATTTTAGTAACTTAAGTCTCCTGCCCTTTTTTTTTTTATTTTTTGAGACACAGTCTTGCTGCATTACCCATGCTGAAGTGCCAGTGGCACCATCTTGGCTCACTGCAACCTCCACCTCCCAGGTTCCAACAATCTTTGTGCCTCAGCCTCCTGAGTAGCTGGGATTGCAGACATATGCCACCACACCCAGCTAATTTTTTGTATTTTTACTAGAGATGGGGTTTCTGTATGTTGGCCAGGCTGGTCTTGAACTCCTGGCCTCAAGTGATCCACCTGCTTCAGCCTCCCAAAGTGCTGGGATTATGGGCATAACCAAATTTCGGTTTTGTTTATTTTCTCAGTTTTTAATTCTTTGTTTTATGTATTTCCACCCTAGTTTTATAATCTCTTTCCTTAGTGTGCTTTTTTTTTTCTAGTTTTTTTTATTTTTTATTTTATTTTTTTTTTTTTATTTTTTTTAGGGTTGAAAGTTAGAATACTGATTTGAGCTCTTTTGGGTTTTGTTTTTGTTTTGGGACAGAGTCTCACTCTGTCATCCAGGCTGGAGTGCAATGGTGCAATCTCAGCTCACTGCAGCCTACATCTCCTGGGTTTAAGCAAGCCTCCCACCTCAGCCTCCCAAGTAGCTAGGACTATAGGAGCATGCTATCATGCCTGGCTAATTTTGTTTATTTTTTGTAGAGACAGGGTCTCACTTTGTTGCTCAGGCTGATCCTGAACTCCTGGGCTCAAATGACCCTTCTACCTCCGCCTCTCAAAGTGTTGGGATTACAGGCATGAACTACTGTTCCAGGTGAGATCTTTTTTTATTATAGTCTTTTACAGCTATAAAGTTCTCTCTTAGCATTGCTTTAGCTGCATCACATAAATTTTGGTGTGTTGTGATTTTGTTTTTATTAATTCCAAAATGTTTTCTAATTTTCTCTAGTGATTCCTTCTTTGCCTTATCGGTTATTTTAGGAGTATGTTCCTTAATTTCCACAAATTTGTGAATTTCCCAAATTTTCTTTTATTATTTATTTCTAATTTCATTGCATTCTGGTGAGAGAACTTGCTTTGCATGATGTTAATATTTCTAAATTTATCGAGATTTATTTTATTGCCTACATATGGTCTATCCTAGAGAATATTCTTTGTGCATTTGAGAAGAAAGTGTATTTTGCTGTTGTTGGATGGAGTGTCCACAGATGTCTCTTGTATCCCGTCTCTCTTCCTCTGTACTATTATTGTCATACAAATTACATGTTTACACATTGCATGCCCATCAACAGAGATTTATAATTATTGCTTTATGTCTTTTAAATCAGATAGGAGAAAAAAAGAGTTACAAACAAAAATACATTTATTCTGTCTTTTATGGTGACCTATATTGTAACCTTTGCATGTGCTCTTTGTTTTTTAAATATGGGTTCAGATATTATCCTTCATTTCACCCTAAAGGACTCCTTCTAGTATTTATTTTAGGCCAGGCCTGCCAGAGATAGATTCTCTCAGTTTTTGTTTAGCTGGGAATATTTTAATTTTTTCTTCATTTCTGAAGAATAACTTTGATGCATATAGGATTCTTAGCTGACAGTCTTCTTATTTCTGTGCTTTGAATGTGTCATCCTATTCCCTCCTGGCCTCCATGATTTCTAATGAGAAATCAGCTGATAATCTTTCAAAGGTTGTTTTTGTGTATATGATAATTTGCTTTCTTGTTGCTTTCGAGATTCTCTCTCTGTCTTTGGCCTTCAACAGTTTGATTATCATACATCTGGGTGTGGGTCTCTGAGTTTATCTTGTTTGTAGTTACTTGAACTTCTTAGATATGGAGATACATGTTTGTAATGAAATTTGGGAAGTTTTTGGCAATTATTTCTTCAAATACTCTTTTTTGCTCCTCTTTCTTTCCTCCTTTTTGCAGTTCTCATTATGCTTGTGTTGGTGGCTCACAAGTCCCTGAGGCCCTGATCATTTTTTAAATCTTCCTTTTTTGTTTATTTTTCTCAGACTGGATAATTTCAATTGGTCTGTCTTCAAGTTTGCTGCTTTTTTTTTTTCCACCTCAAAATTTCTTTTACACCTGTTAAGTGCATTTTTCTTTTCAGTTATTATACTTTTCAACTCCAGAATTTCTTTTTTTTTCCTTTTCAAGAATACTTCTGTCATGTTACTGATATTCTCTCTTTAGTGAAACACCAGTCTCATACTTTAGTTCTTTGGATATGGTTTTCTTTACTTCTTTGAACATATTTAAAATAGCTGATTTAAAGTCTTTGTAAGTTAAGTCTATATTTGGGCTCCCTCAGTGACAACTTCTATTGATTGCATTTTTTTCTTGTTCTTTGCATGTCTTGTACTTTTTTTGCTGAAAAGTGGGCATTTTAAATAACACACTATGGCAACTCTGAAATTAGATTCTTGCCTCTCTCCAGGGTTGATTATTGTTTTTATTGTTGGTGGTGGTATTCCTTTAGTGGCTTCCCTGAACGGATCCTATGAGGTCTGCATTCTTTGTCATAGGAGGCCCCATAAGTCTCTGCTTGATTAGCTTAGTGGTAAACTAATGATTGTACAGAAATGTTCTGAGCCTGCTAGAGCCAATAAACCTTCCGGTCTTTGTCAATGGGGTCTATGTGCTTGTTGAGTATGCCTTCATCTCTGCCGTAGCTTTCACTTCCTGCTTACAGAGCCTCAAGGCCAGTCTGATAAGTAGCAAATGGAATGATAGTTTTGGAAAATTACAAATGTAAGCTACATTTGTGGTCCTTTAACTGTCATTGTTCTCATACCCTATTCTTTGCCCTTTGGAAGCACAGACATTTCCCGACAGATAAACAGCTAACTAATATGAACATAGCTACCTTTAATGCCTTAGACCCCACAACCACTGTCATGGGGTTCATGTTGAAAAAACAAATTAAAAAAAAAAGAACTTTGAATTTTAAGAAAATGTGTGGTTTCATTAGAAAAAAAAAGCTTCCAAAAATCAGAGATAATTTGGGTAGTTTTTCTCAAAATGAGATTCAAGGACTACCTGCATCAGAATTACTTGGGATGCTTGTTAAAATTCAGGTTCCTGGCTCCATCTCAAAACTTTTGATTTGGTATACCTGGGGTGAGGTCCAGGAGTTTACATTTTTAACAAGCCATGTAGGTGACTCTTACGTACACTAATATCTGAGAAACTCCTTAGGGAAGATGATCCTGTTAGGAACATTCACAGGAGGGACTGACCGGCTCATGATGCAAACTGTGCTTAAGTATTAATCTCTTCCTTTCACTGTCTAATCTTTTTAAAATTTCACTTGTATACACACTCAGATTCCACCGATTAGAGATTTATTTGCATCTATTAGAATTTTTTTAAACAGCTGCCAGTGTTAAAGTACTAACATTCATTCACACCTTTTAAAAAAATTAGTTCAATCGGATTGCATTTATTCAAACAACTGGCCAATATGATTTTAAATGAGAGAAGAACATTTTATATGTTTTTTAAATTTTGAGACAGAGTAGATGCTTTTCATGAAATTCTAAAGTCTTTAGGAGAAGAGAAGAATGGACCCATGTTAATTTATGCAGTAACACATGGGTGTGTGGGGTGGGTGTGAGGAGGTAGAGTGTACTAGATGAATCAATGTGTACACCTGCCCATATCAAAATATTGTGTCTAGGGCTGGCCATATCCAGATAGGGGAGGAAAATTATTTTCTTTCTTGTTACTACTTTCAGTATTACCCTTTTCCTCGAGATCTAGAATTCAGGTCTGTATAATGGGATTAAGGAATGACATCAGCTCACTAGGGTTAAATAGGCTTTTAAGGGTTGTCTGGAAATATAATCACTACCTAAACCACGTGGAAGGTTATCTTTATAGAAAAATGTCTTCTGGTTTCCAAATAACACATTTCCCAATGAACTTCTTGAGGCTACCCATTTGAAAGTTTGAGACTGGATCAGATTCAGATGTGTGATTTATTTGTGTTAATTTAAAATTCTAAGCTGATCTTCCCAACCATCTGTGTACTTTTAGGCCATTTATCCTTGAGGAATTTTGTGTTTAGGTAAAACAAACTCTGTATTGGAAAACAATTAGGGGAGTATAGGTCCTCATACAATTTAATACATTAAAAAATGAAACCTGATTTTAAACATTATTTTATGTTTTATGATTTTATTGCTCTGAATCAAGAGATTCTTATCCCCTCTCCCATTCAGTCCAGGTTAGGTTACATTATTCTGCCTCAGGTCTCAGAATTCTGTTACAAATAAGCAGACTCGTAAATTGCATTTCTTATTTCCTTCAAGGTATTGCGCAGAGATGCACGGCCATCAAGTATCATTTTTCTCAGCCCATCCGCTTACGAAACATTCCTTTTAATTTAACCAAGACCATACAGCAAGATGAGTGGCATCTGCTTCGTAAGTATTTCCAAGACAGGTTCAGAGAGGAAATGGTGTCTTTTTGAACAAAAGTCCCACCACCCCTCTTACATCTGGACAGAATGATGTTATTCTTACCCTCTGAGAGCCTCTGGCCCCAATCAGATGTGGTCAGAGACTCAGAGGATCATTTTCACTATGCTGTGGACACAGCTTGCTTAAAAACAAAATGTGTGGAAACCTGGTATGAGGCCCTGTGAGATAGTCTGCCCTGGTGGCATCTGGACACAGCTGCCTACTGAATCTTTTGTTTGCTGAGTCGTTGGATGTAAGGACCTGCTGTACCCCTTGTCTTAGTAAACCAAGGAGATTATACCTCAGGTGCTCTTATTTTTGTTTTGTATGTATGGTATTTATTTTAGCTACTGTGTTTATCTCAGACCTTTGTATTTCTGCTAAAATACCTTTATGAGTGTATGTCATAATTTTCTCAGAGGGTGCCTACATCTCAATGAAAGGAACTATTCTTTTTCACTGTCAGGAAAATGTGAAATTCTAGAAAGGATCCTGCAGCGTGAAACTAAAGAGGGCTGATAGTTACCTAAAAACTAGTGATTTAAGCTGCCTGGTGATAGATGTTTCCCCAAACAGAAAGCTACAGTGAATGTTTTTTGGTCCTTGCCCCCATCAGAGATGGACATTGTTATTTTCCAATAAAATAAGTAACGAGGACTTCAGGACCTTGTTTGGTGGCCAAAGCCACTGTAGACAAATAATCAGAGTGTCATTCTGTACGTAAATCTCTCTGTGGATTAAAAGGCGTTGTTCTGAATCACAAGCACATAGCTCTATGATATTGCCAGAGCAGTGGTCTAATATTATACATACTATGACTGGCCACTTTAAGACTTAATCATCTTTCCAGAGAGCCACGTACTTACTCTTTAATAGTTTGTACCCTGTGATTGCCCAGGAAGGCAATATTTGAGCATTCTTCTTTTAATCCTTTTTGGAGTTCTCATGGAAAGATGCTTTTAGCAGTCTCATGCATGTCTGTTTCTAAAAAGTCACACTTGGTGATCCGTAGCACATTTACTGGATAAGCTTAACATGACTGGTACTAATGCAAATCCCATGTGGATTATATCTGAACCTTGTGCCTTTTCATAGTCACAGAAAATAGACTGTCACTCAAACCACAGGAAATTTGGTAGGCTATAAGATAATAGTGACTGAACTATTATTACATTTTCCCTGCTCAGATGTGTATGTCTCAAAAGCTCCTTATACTCTTAACATTAAACTCAGCATCTTTAAATTACCACTGTTCCTGGCCCCTTGTTCATTGGTGTCCACATTTCCTCTTCTAGGCAGAAATACTCTTTTAATTTGGATGCCCTGAGCTGGAAATGAGAAATCCCCCTTTAAAAAAGGGATGATCTCTGTGTGGCTAAGATGCTAAGAGCAAGACTGGAAGCTACCGTAATGCATCTTCCACGAAGTCACCCCTAAGATACCCAGTAGCCACACAAACACACAATAAAGTGATGGCTGCATGGGCAATTTCACTTTAGCAGAGCAGCCCGCACTTCAAACAATGTGATGTGCACCTTGTCTTGGCCCCATGTGTACACAGGTGTGCATGATCCACGAGCATTTGCCCAGCCCTGTTACCTGGCCTCGGGGAAGCAGATGTATGCTTGGGATGTGTTGTTTTAAGAATGATGATTGAAATTTAGCTAACAGTTTTTAAAGTTAGCTTTGTTAAAAAAAGAAATTCTTTGAGATGGAGCCTCAAAGTAAATAAAAAAGATTCAAAAGTATTTTTTTTTTTAAAAAAAGAAGGAAGGGAATAGAAAAAGTAAAATAGCCAGAAGGTAGGCAATGAGACTGGTTTAGCAATTCAAGGCAAAGTATGTCCAGATGCATGTAGTCAGCCTACCTCTTGGTTTGGCCAGGGAAGTGGGGAAAGAGCTGGGTTTCTGGCTCAGTGGTCACGGTCGGGGTTTTGCCATAGACCAAACTTGACAGTTGGGCATACAGTGGAGACTCGTCCTGTGGGAACGGTACCTCCTTCACCTGGGAAAATGGATGCCCAGGCTGTGGGACCTATGCTTTAGGGAAGAAGGCATTTACGAGCAGATGTTGCGGAGGAAAGGGTGTTTATGAGCACACGTATCCTATGTGCACTTCACACCACTGTTCCAGTCACCACAGTTGCCTCCACTTTCTCAAATTGTTTTTGAAAATAGGCAATAGATGTAAATGAAGAATTAAATCATTGGCATTTGTGGTGATCAGATAAAACCCTATTTCACAATAGCTTTTTAGGCTCTTCCTCCCAAGCCAGATTATGTACAGCCATTACTATGGTGGTAACCTACAATTCCTTCTTTTTTTTTTTTTTTCTTTTTAAAATTTCAATAGTTTTGGGGGTACAGGTGGTTTTTGGTTAGCCTACATTTCTATTGCTCCATTAAGGCTAACAGAGATATTTCTCAAACCTACCTTGCTCTTGGTTTATTAAGTAATTTGACATCTGTTACTCAGGTCTATCCTGGGCTTGTCCTCTACTCTGTCCTCCACTTGGTATGGACTTCTCCATGGACTCAGAGGGTAGAGTCTGAGTCTCCATTGTTTACACGCCATCTGTCCTCTTATGGAATACCTGGGAAGAGTATTGCCTAAACCTCCTCACCCTGTAGGCTCTAAGCCCATCCATGAAACTTACTAATTTTCACAATCTATACAAAGCTCTAATTCTCTAATTCTTAATAACTTTCCTGATTCTGATTGTGAATGTTTGTGTCTGTTTTGAGATTAGATTTAAGAAGAATCACTGCTGGTTTCCTGGGCATGGCCGTAGCTGTCCTTCTCTGCGGCTGCATTGTGGCCACGGTCAGTTTCTTCTGGGAGGAAAGCTTGACCCAGCACGTGGCTGGACTCCTGTTCCTCATGACAGGTAGGCTGCATGCCTCGGGCCATCTGTCCCAGCCAAGGTGAAGGCTGCTCTGCATGCGGCTAGCTACTGTGGCTTTGTTATCTCCCTGTTAATTTTGTTTTCACTGTTAGAAAAGCAACCAGAAGGTCATTTGGCTTTGCTGGGAAATACAGAATTTAAGGAAACAACAGTGTGAAACATGCAGCCTCCATATCCCCACTGTGGCCTGTTAGTAGGTTAGATAGAAGTGTCTTGGGTTTAATATCAATATGAGCCCAGTCTGTTTTTCTGTCCCTTCTTCTTTTTTTTTTTTTTTTTTTTTTGAGATGGAGTTCCACTTTGTTGCCCAGGCTGGAGTGCAGTGGCACGATCTCAGCCGACTGCAACCTCTGCCTCCTTGGTTCAAGTGATTCTCCTGCCTCAGCCTCCCGAGTAGTTGGGGCAACAGGGATGTGCCACCACAGCTGGCTAATTTTTGTATTTTTAGTAGAGATGGGGTTTTACCTTGTTGGCCAGGCTGGTCTTGAACTCCTAACCTCAGGTGATCCACCCGCCTCGGCCTCCCAGAGTGCAGGGATTACAGGCAAGAGCCACCATGCCCAGCCTTCTGCTCCTTCTTTCATACTGTGCCTCAAATCCTGGCTTGGACTCCCGGCAAACATGGGCCATTGCTTATGAGGTGCCCTCACAGATAGAGGGGGATAGATCAGCACAACTCATCGCCCACTAGATGCCAATTCAAAGGTCATGCCTTGGTGATGGTGTTACTTTTACATACATAACACTCCTTCATTTTACTCCACAGACATCTTTCGAGGACTTACTATATACGAGGCCCTGCTGTGGGTGCTAAAGACACACAATGAATAAGGCAGGCAAAATCCTTGCTCATTTTTATTGTGGAGAGACATAAACAATGATTTGTGGCAGTGATAAAAGCTGTGAAGAAAATAAACAGGGTGAAATAGGGGCTCGGGGAAGATCTTGCTGAGGTGGCACTTTCTGAGCTGATTGGTGAGAAGCAGCCGGTGGTGGGCAGAGTGCAGCAGATGGAGGAAACCGCCAATCCTGAGAGAAGTGGTCAGTGGGGCTGGGGGGGGCCAAGGGACAGGACAGTATCACATGTGGTGGGGGCAGTGGGCAGTGGCCAAGGCTTCAGGGCTTTGTTGGTCATGGGGAAGAGTTTGGATTTGAAGCTAAGGGTAACAGACGCCACTAGGAGGTTTGAAGCAAAGGAGTCACTTGATATTTAAACAAGGGATTGGAAGGGGTGGGGGTGTGGAGACAAGGCTAGGATTTTTTTGTCTAACAGCTAAGGGGTAGTTTTGTCTAAAAAGGTGCCAGGTGCTGAGTTGATGGCTAACACAGACCGAAGGTAGGTTCAGGGAAGAAATCTTTTCTTTTTTCTCCTCCTCCACAAAAAACTCATGTATTAATGATTAGTGAATGCCAAGCTAACTGGGCATTAACAGTTTCACAAAGTATTCTCAGCAACAGAACTAATATTGCCCCAGATAGATAGCCATTTTAAATAGGCTTATTTCCACTTGCCTGGAGTTCTGTTCCTCAAGTGACCATGTCTAGATTTTCTAGTGCTTCTCACTGTGATGGGTCACTTCAGTAAGCCTGTGTTAACAGAAGGCAGCCACACCTCACCAGGGCTGACACTGCTTTCTGACTGTCTGTCTCTGAGGGCTGACAGGCAGGGTGTGCTTTGGCTTCTGGCATGGCCATCCACCCAGCAGCCTTAAGGAACCCACTTCACAGGTAGGGATCCTTCCTTCTAACTCCCACTCGCCCCTGTCCCACCCCACGAAGTGGTGCTGCAATTGGCAGTGATCTGGAATGTGGGGCATCATCACCAGCATCTTGGAACCTTCAGGAGTCACATGGATCCTGCCTAGTTCTGTGCAGAAAACCAATTTAGTTTTTCTAGATTTTGGTGAATACACAGTGGCAACCAGGACTGTGGCACAGGGAGGCTAAAATGTTAGTTTCTGAGATTTGGGAGGAGGATTTGGACCCTCAAGACCAGCCACTGAGTTCCTGCCCAAGAGAGGCGTTTAAAATCCAACTTATAGAGTAAAGCAGATGAGGGCAGCAAAGAATCAAAGAGTGCTATGCTGCACCGAGGATTCCTTTATGCCTCTCCTGGGGCTTCGTGGTTATTTAAAAATCTTCCCCATTTTCTTCTCTCCCTTTCTTTAAGCCCCCATTTCTCTGACTCTTGTCTCCATATATACCAAAGAGGTGCAGATGTATTGTCTCCCAAGCCTGGAAAGGCCCCATAGCGCATCCCCTCATCAGGAAAATGGCGGATGCTCTGGAGTGGACAGAAGCCTCAGTAGGAGTAGTTTTTAAAGGATACTTTAAATATATGTACTGCCTGGATAGTTTCTTATGCTCTTAGCAAATAAAACAATTGTTAGCACTAAAATAAATTGCAAGACCATGAAAGCCTACTGAGTGCTCTTTGGGAGGCCAAGGGGCCAGTCTTGTTTTAAATGAAAGGAAGTTGGAGGTTCAGTGGCAGGTGGCACAGAGGACAGCCAGGACATTCTTGGGCCAGTGCCACCTCTCCCTGTTCTCAGCCCTTATTTTGGATCCATGTGTGGATTGTATCTCTGGACCAGAGGAGCTCAGGAGTCCTCAGGATCGAGCACGGGAAGTTCCTATGTAATTGTTAGGCAACATCAAAACAAGCAAAACAATAGCCTCAATAACAGATACCACCACCACCACCACCACCAACAACAACAACAACAAAAACCCAGACAATAACCTTGGAGCTTGCTAACCAGCTCTGAAGGACTAACAGACACAACCTAACATTGTTAACATTGCTCTGTTTGCTTTGTTTCGGTTGCCCAAACAACTTTATTGGAATGAAGGGGTAATCTACTTAAGACCTTATTACCTAAAAACAAAACAACCTTGTTTCAATATTTCCCTTATTCTGGACCAAATCTTGTCATGCATTTGCTTCATTGTAAAAAAAAGGAAGAAAGGAAAAGGAAGGAGAATAAAGGGGAGGAGATGGAAGAGGGGAGGAAGAGGGGAGAGAAGGAGCCACGGAGTGGCTGTGTGCTGTGCTGGACACACCTCTTCTGCTGCCATGGGATTTAGGGAGGTTTGTTTTGTTTCTGTTACTACAAATAATGCCTTGGAATTTCCTTTGCAAACACTGAGACAACCATGTCAGTCTATTGCATGCGGTAAATTAGCTGTAGAACGTTCACATGCAGTAGCAGGAGATGAGAGCAAAAAAGGGTTAAAAGAATCGATTTTAATTAAGCAGAATGTCCTCAGCCACTCAAGTCAGCATCCTTCCCACAGCTTTTTGATGCTAAACTTAGCCCCTTCTAATGCTCTGCCATCTTCATTCTCTGCCTGAACTTATTAGCTAAACCTTCAAATGAAGAACATCAACCATGTGACAGGTTGGGTGGTTAAAATGGAAACTTTGGAACCATCTTTCTCTTTCTGCCTTATTGATTGCAGGCAGACAGGTCTTGATTATCACATGCGACACAGCAGCCCTGCTGACTGTTGATGCACTTCTGGAGCCAGGTCTCACCCGCTTTCCTCTTCCCTGGGGCCATGCAAGTGTCCTCCCAAAGGGCCAGAGGCAGGCTGCACATCCCCCACGGGCCTCGAACTTAGACTTTGGATGCCATACCCTCTGAGGTTACACACACAGGCACAGAAGCCTACAGAGGAGATTGAGGGAATAAGACTCATCTTCCAGCTTTAAGCTTCTACCCATTACTAGACTATACTGCTTTTAGTGTACTATGAATGAATATTTCCACCTACATTATTAAGCAATGCATTCTATTAGATGGATATAATAATATAATTATAGTCATTATAATTTAAGTTATAAATGTAAATCTTTTAAAAGTTTATTTGGTGCAAACGTTTTTAAACATTTAAATATTTTTATGTCTCTATTGTAGGATTTTTATTATTTTTTAATTCACCAGGAGTCCTAAATATTGGATAAAGTTTGAGCCTCCCTTGGTGGGGGACTCACTGCTCATCCAGTGCATTCACCTTCACAGGCTATGCCTTGAGTGGGCAATTGGAAGATCATACACAGTGTGAAACACTCCCTTCCCGACAGCAGAGACAGAGGAGACAGTCCAGGCAGCCCTAGCAGAGCTCCAGGGACGGTTAATACCCACCCTCACTGGGTTATTGGTTCTTTTGTTTCAATAAATCCAAATAAAAAAAGAAGACTCCACCGTAGCAGGTGCATTGAGTTATCTAGATTATCCATTGATTATGTCCTGAAACTACAGGTCCATGATACTTTTTCTATATCCGTGGGGGCCAGATTTGTTTTGTAATTCAGGATCTTAAAAAGTTTATTTTAGAAGAGGAACATGGTGCATATATCCTGTGTTATTTAACACCCTCAGCAAGGTCTGGGGTGGCATCTTGAAATCAAATACATTAACATTTTTGTAGCTAAACATATGAATATTCACATTAGATGGGATCAGTAAGAACTGGAATAGCCTATGTCAGGCCAGGCCAGGATTTGCCCCTAAAGAGATTGCTTCAATCTTTCAGAAAAGATTGGATACTTTTGGGATTTAGGAATTGCATTTTGTGCGTGTGTGTCTAAGAGTTTGCTTCCCTTTATTAGGTCTGGCAGTCAGTTAGAACAATATAGGAATGGCTTTTTGAGTAATCTGTGTGAAAACTAGCATGAGGCATTTGATGGAAGACCAAAGAGGCCAGAACGATGGGCAGGCCGTCTTTTGAATGAGTAGGGGGAAAAAATCAATGTTTGTGCTTTTGGATGTTGTAGTTACATTATTTATCAAGCAGGCTAAACAGGGTGAAGCAACTTCCACTCCTTTCAGCCTTATAAGCATATTAAAAAACGATGGTCAAAAGAATGGGCCCCATTACCCTAATTATATCTTACCAGCCGGCACCATGATTTTAGGGTAAGAAATTAGGTTGATGATGTGGGAATGTTAGCATAAATTTACTTCTGTCCTGATCTGAAAATATCCCTTCTAGCCTTGTAATTCTGTGATATTGTGGTTTCTTCTAATTAGGAATATTGGCAGAAAACCTCTTAATATTTTATAAGAAAAGTAGCTGCATGCAGGGCTTGTCAGGAAACCAGTAATTTATTCACTTTTTTGAAGATGCTGCCAGCAGTAGTCAGGACTGAGCTCGGGACTCAGGAACTTGAACTCCCCCCCCCACACACTGGGGGCCGCTGACTGGCTGAAGAGTATCAGCTAGGCAGGGGAGAAGTGTAAAGGAAGGGAAAGCCTCAGAATGGAGGAGAAGCCACTTTTCTCCCCATGGAGCTTCAGGAAGGACCATTAGAGTTTAAACTTTCTGAATGCAGAGGTAATACCTTATTCATCCTTCCCTACTCCTTTTGCATACCTTGCATTAATTAGATTGCTGCCCATGAAAATGCAGCATTATCAGAAATAACTTGCTACATAGGTAATCCCTACTTGGGGGTATTTGCGCCGAACTGACTGTTAAGTTGGTAGACCTCAAAGTATTAGAGAATTCAGTTTTGTTCAGGTTTTCTCGACTCCATGTGCTCAGCTCTGTTGGACCCCACACAGAACTTACGGGAAGTCTAAGAGATCTCTACTGCCTTTTCCTGAGATGCAGACAGGAAAGTGGAGTGGAAAGAATGGTTCCTGACCACATCGGTGTTGAACGGAGTCCAGCTGTGACCAAAAAAAGCTCACAAAACTAAACTATCTCTAATATACCAGAACTAGGTTTGGGACATGGTAGATACTCAATAAATAATTGTTGAATAACTTATTGAATAACACTTAAAATAGTAAAATCTTGCTAAACCCTATAAAAAAGCTAAAAGTATACTTTATCATGAGTACACACACACACGCACGCACGCACGCACGCACGCACGCCTGCACACGTATGCAATGTTATGGGCTGAGTTGTGTACTCCCAAATAGACCTGTTGATTCCTTTGTCTCCCACTTCAGAATGTGACAATATTTGAAAATAGAGTCTTTAAAGAGAAAATTAAGTTAAAATGAAGAGATACGGATGGGCCTTAACCCAAATGGCTGGTATCCTTATAAGAAGAGGAGACTTGGTTGTGGTGATAGAGGAGCGATTGTGGGAAGACACAGGGAGAAATGGCCATTGACAAGCCAAGGAGAGAGTCCTCAGTTTAAAAAGCCAATCCCGCTGACAACTTGATCTTAGACGGTAGCCCCTAGAATGGTGAGAAAATAAATTGCTGTTGTTTAAGCCACCCCCAGTCTGTGGTACTTTGTTACGGCAGCTCTGACAAACTCATACGAGTACTATAAGATGTGCATGTGAAACCTAAAATAGAATTCTACACTCTCAACACTGACCTAAAACTATTAACCCAGCTACAGTAAGAATGCTTTTATTATTTCAAACAACCTTTTTCTTGAGGTCTTTGAATTTAGGATTTTTCTGTTTTGTTTTTAAAAATGTCTTGAATGGGTTAGGCTTCTTTTACAAAAGCTTGCTGGAAAAGTTGGAAACAATGCTTTGTCTCCTCTTAGTACATTTCCTCACTCTCCTGCCCATCTCACAAATCATAGCGGTGGCAGCTATATATGTACAAACATTCTTAGAAATGTGAGGCTCTGAAAAGAAGAGCTCCTAGGTAAGCTTTTCTTGTCATTCTCTCCTGCCCTGCTTTCATCTTGCAAAGAACAACTTCGAGAGCACTTTGGAAGGAGAAGAGGTGTTACAGAAGAGCCAGCTATGCTTGTGGGAAGGGGGATGGACAGAGAGGGGACGTATTTGTGGGCAGATAAGTCTTCTCTCCACCATGCTCAGCTGAGTGAATAAAGGCAACAAGAAATAAAACAAGTCTGAATCAAAGTTTGATGCATGCCCTGTTCCAAAAAAACTTAACTGGCATAGAGATGCCACTTAAATTAATACAAATAAATAAAGTAAGACAAAGGGACAATCGGGTTTCCAAAGCAGCATGGATCCAAGAGTGAAATGAGAAGCAGAAAGCATGCCATGAAATCCCATACTTTTGCTCATGGTGGGCTACAGATTTAGCTTTAGGGAGCTTCAGTGCTCTGGCAACTTGGACAAAGAAAAGTTCTATTAGTGACATCATTCACAGTGTCCATGAGGTATGCACAAATCAATTCCCCAGGAAAAGCACAACTGTTCATGACATTGAGGGCAGAGAGAAATCATTCTGGTTAAATCCTCAGGATAGATTGTTTCTTGTCATTATTTTCTATTCAGTATGAACTGGTGGTGTAATGATAGTATTCATGTCATCAAAAGCAATTTTATGGGGTTGGCAGGGGAGAGGAGGTAACAAAATAAATGTTAAGTGTAAAATCAAAGGGAGTATATACGGAAAGATAAATACATTGGACATTCCATTTTCATTTAATTGCTAAGCTGAGTACTAGATTCACTAGGAAGTTTTAATAAATATTCTTGTTTCATGTCTCATTTTGGAATAACAGAATCACAGAAATTTGATACGTTTAGGGACTTCAGTAATCAAGTCTCCCATTCTTTTTTCCCTAGATGAAGAAACCAAGGCTCAGAGATGTTAGGAAATTTCAAGTTTGCATAGTGTTTAGCAGAGCTGGAAAATAGAATAGTTATTTCTCACACCCCACCCAATGCATCTGGACATCAAAGGATGCTTAAAGTTAGGTTTGAACTCAAGCTTTCCTAGGTCATCAAAACCCCATGACTTGTAAAAATGCTTGCTTTTAGGCATTCAGCTGTGTGCAAACAACTAAATGCAGAATAAAGTTGTTTTTCTTGTGAAGAGGTCATTGTTCTATTTTTCTATTTTACTTGTTGATGCTTCAAAGATTATTTTTTCTAACTGCCTATTGTTCTATTACCAGTATTTATTAAAAAGGCCTTGTTATATATAAAAACTGCCTTTGTTTTGGTGCCAGTGAAAACATTTGTGTAGATGTAAGAACATTTGCTTTTCACAAGGTTTGAGAAAAGTGGAGTATTCTTTTTTGAGTGGTCCATTACTTTATGAGAGAATTATTTCCATCTTGATTTTTCTCTTTGAGAACTCAAAGCGATATGTTTGCTATAATAAATTGGAGCAAAAAGTCAGAAGAAAAGATTTTATTCTTTTTAGTAAAACAGAATCACTTTAGAGTTTAAGTGCAGCATTAAGCAAAGAGTAGAAAATATAAAATCATCTCAGATCAAGTGTCCTTTTAATTTAGAACCTTTATTTTCTAAATGCATATTTGGAAAAAGATTCAGGCAGTGTGCTCGTACATGATATACATGGAGGCAGAATTCTAACACTTTTAAGATGGCATTAAGGTGACCTTCCTTTTCTCCAAATTGCTGCCTGCTATGAATTTGTTTTTCTGCTAGTGCTTCTAATCTTCAAAGCTATAGGTTAAAAAAGAGTGGTGGGTTGGGGGCAGGGGACTTTGGGATGGAGGTTGGAGAGGTAATTTGCTACTTTTAGCTCTCTCTTTTCAGTTTCAAAATCTGTGTCTCTGTTTCCAGTGGAGATGATACATGTAACCCTAACGATGCCAAAGGAATTTTCTAGCCAATAAATGCTGTCTCCGTTGTACGTAGGGATAAACCAGACTATGAAGAAGAGATATGTAGGATTCTGAACAGAACTGGACATTCTGATGCTTGATTGGGTGCAGTTTCTGTTTTTATTACTCACAACATTCAAATCCTCTGCCCATCCAAAAGGAGCATTTTGAGGGTTCATTGTGGTGGAATAGAAGCACCTGTATCCACATGACATGAGCACAAAAAATCCTGTGTTTGGGGCTTATGAGGCATTTTAAAAATCAGTTCTGCTTTTAGTGTTGCAGAAGGAAGATTACCCACACATGCATTGGTCTAAAAAGCAAACTTTTGGGTCTGTCCATTTTCCTTATGTTGCTCCAGTTGCCTCCACTTTGAGCGGTTGACGTGGATGATCTCCTTACTCAGCTATTTCACATCAATTCCAAATTGCTGGACTTAATTTATACTATTTAAAAGCATTCCTTAACTGAAAAAACTTCATTTGTTGAGGCCCTGGTATATGTCAGACTGTGCCCTAACAAAAATGATTTAGCCACTTATATGAGTTCATCTAAAATATTATTGAAGACATGATAAATATTTATGATGTTAATTGAAAAAGAAAGCAGATTTTGTATAATGATTACAACAGTATAAGTGTGTGAAATTAGGTGGAGAGCAAAGGAAAATGAAAACTATTTTGTGCTCAATTTGAGTGAGTGTAGGAGTTTTTGTCTTAAAAATAGAACTTTCATTAAATTGTTTTTAAGAATAAATTTTTTTTTTAATTCTTAAAAAAAATACATACCATTCAAATTAGATAATTCTGAATAATTCAAGTTACCAGAATTTTTCTTTTTCACTTCTCCGTCTCCAATCCCTAGTGTGGGGTCTGGCACACAGAAGTTTTGCCAATGTTTGTCGAATGAATTAATTCAAGTAAAGGAATTATGGATCATTTGCAAATTTGGAGTGACTGCTTCACTGGCTGACCTGATTTTCATAAAGGCCTGTCTGGCATTTGCCTTGTAACAGGCAAAACTGTAACTAATCATTCTGTTCTCTTTGTATTATTTATAGGGATATTTTGCACCATTTCCCTCTGCACTTACGCCGCCAGTATCTCTTATGATTTGAACCGGCTCCCGAAGCTCATTTATAGCCTGCCTGCTGATGTGGAACATGGTTACAGCTGGTCCATCTTTTGCGCCTGGTGCAGTTTAGGCTTTATTGTGGCAGCTGGAGGTCTCTGCATCGCTTACCCGTTTATTAGCCGGACCAAGATTGCACAGCTAAAGTCTGGCAGAGACTCCACGGTATGACTGTCCGCACCGGGCCTGTCCATGGTGCGGGTGACTCCCGAGGGGAGCGGCGTGGAGTTCAGGATTCCAAGCACAAAGCGGTCTTTTACATTCCAACCTGTTGCCTGCCAGCCCTTTCTGGATTACTGATAGAAAATCATGCAAAACCTCCCAACCTTTCTAAGGACAAGACTACTGTGGATTCAAGTGCTTTAATGACTATTTATGCTTTGACTGTGAGAATAGGGAGCAGTGCCATGGGACATTTCTAGGTATAGAGAAAGAAGAAACTGCAATGGAAAAATTTGTATGATTTCCATTTATTTCAGAAAGTTTGTATATAACAATGACCTGAGAGTCATTTCTATTTGCAAAAGGGTTCGTAACAAAGCGAGCATAATTTTCTTGTCATTGTATCATGCTTGTTAAATTTTAATGCAGCCTCTTCAGAACTTGTCCTGATGGCGTCTTATTGTGTCAGCACCAAATATTTGTGCATTATTTGTGGATGTTCCTTGTCACAGGAAGATTCTTCTTCTGTTGCCTTATTGTTTTTTTTTTTAATTGAAGTCTCTTCTCTGTCTTTGTACTGGAATCGAAATAATAAGATAAACAGAACAAACGTGCTTAACAGCTAACTCGTGACACTATGCAGTATTGTTTGAAGACCTGTTGTTCAACCAGTCTCTTTATGTTAACTGGATTTCTGCATTAAATGATTGCCCTCTTGTTAATCTGGGTGTGTTTTCCTATGTCGTTTAGCTGTGTCAACAGGTCTCCCTAGCCAGAAGGACAGATAAAAACTGTTGTTTTAATAAGACTCTTATTAAGACTTAGTAATTGCTTCATTTCAGTTAGGTTGGGTGTTATTATTTCTCTTTTGTAGCAACCACACACTTGCTATTGACAAAAGATGTCGTTTCCAAACTTCTTTTTAAACCTTACTATATAAAATTTTCGGCTCTTTCTCGTTCTGTTTTTCTTTTATTCTCCTCTCTCCCTCATCCTCCCCTGTTTATCATCTGCCTGGTATTTAATCCAGTCAGAAGGATACATGGTCTCTGTTCTTATTCTTGGACCTCCTAGAGCTGTGATTTTCAACCTTGGCTGCTTAATAGAATCACCTGGTGATGTCTTCAGCTGTACCTAAACTGGGCCTCACCCCGACCAATTAACGCAGAATGGCCACAGCTGGGCCTAGGTGAGTCTGATACACAGCTGTGATTGAGAGCCACTTGCCTGGGGCAAAACTGTATTTATCTCCTTAGCTACTAACAAAGTGAACTAACTTATGGAGCACTTACTCTGTGCCAGTAACTGGGCTGTGGTGCTATTTCACTTGGTCCTCTCAGCAGCTATATGAGGTAAGTGCTGTTATTTCATGTTACTCATAAGCTGGGGATCAGACTGAAAACATTTGCTTCGTTTATCTCCTCAATGCTTTGTCTCTGAGTGGGTTTGGGACAACAGTTAAAATTCTTTCATTGTGTTCTCTTGTCTTTCAGCGGAGGGGGTGGGCACTCGCCAATGTCTAAGCTTTTCTTTTTAACGCCAACCCTTATCCCCAGTTCTACACACAATGTGAGCTAAGGATGCCATGTAAAATAGAAGACGCCATGTCCAGAAGTTAGACACTGCGTCAGATTTTAATTTCATAAGATTTTGTTTCTTTATAAAAACTGATTCAGTACTCATAAAAGGAAAATGATCATCTACTTCCAAAGAATAGAGGCTGATTTCCAAGTGACAGTGTCCACATATTTTCATGTAAGGGCCGAAAGGGGCTGGATGATGCCAGGGACCACGCAAGCTCTGGCTCTGTGGCTCCAGGCACAGCACAGGCTTGTGAGTATATTCACTGGCACTGTCTCAGGCTTTTTAATATACTGGTCCCTCTGGATGAGATCAGAGACGTATAGAAAGGGGCAATTATTTTTACTTACTATGTGGGAAATTCTCAAAGCAGGAGAGCTCTTTCTTTGAAGTCTTCTTTAAAGATCCCCATAGAAGATGTCAAGACTCTTGGACATTTATATTCCAACCAACAAAGCAGTGTCTGAGTGAATAACTTTTGAAGTTTCAGAGAAGTTTCCTAGGGGTTTGAGGTGAGAATGGAAAAAAGCCTCGCGGTGGCAGGAGGTTGAAGGGTTCACACACCAGAAAGATTTGCCCAGAAGTCAGGGGAGTTCACTTAGGATTCAAACGAGTGCTGGCAAGGAGTGAAGGCTCCCTGCTTTCCAGCCAAAGTGAGCTCGAAGCAACCAACGTGCCAGGCCAAGGTTCCTCGCTTTCTACTTACTGTCACGGAAGTGTGGGCAAATGTTGCCAGTGCTGGGCATTTGGCCCTGAGTCCTTGGGCTTCTCTTAGGAGTTTTTTCTTAACTGGCTTGTGAGTGAAGAATGATTGAAATGATTGCACAGTACTGTGTGGGGCAGAGTAATTTACTGAGATCCTCTGTGTGTTCCCCTATGTTCTCTCTGTCCCCCACACCCCTCTTTTTAACAGCCTGGTCCTCGGTTTATTTGCCGTATTAGAACCAGTGTTATCCATTCTGGGGAAACCCTCCCCCATCTTTCAAGGACAACCATGGACAGTGATAGTCAAGATTTCCCAGGATACTGGAAACCTCCACAGAACATAATAGCCCCCATAAGGTTTCTTACATATTCAACAAATATTTACTGAATGGCTATTATGTGCTCATATTCTAGCACTTGTGAAACATTAATGAAGCAAAACAAAGATTCTTGCCCTGCTAAAACTTATGTTCTAGAAAAATGCAGCGAAGGACAAGTAAAAAAAATTAAGGTTACCCTTTTAGGCCCTAAATGGTTTTATAAATCAGGTATTAAAGTCATTTAGTTATTAAAATCAGTGTCTTTTAAATTACATTCCCATTGGCTGTACATTTCATACTTCACAACATGCTCATTATTTGACTCTAGCCCTGGCAAAATAAAAAATCACTAACGTTTTTTTGCAAGGGGGTGGTGCCTCTTAAAGATTTCTTATTCGAAATTGAAGTCTGAGAATGACAAAACTGTGCCTCCCAGGTGAGCTAGAGGGAATGAAAACCTGGGAACCTGGGACTCAGGTAAATGGAGGCCCACGAGCTCAAGATAAACTTCCTGATGGAGGTGGCACAGCTGGGATGCTCACACTGCCTGGGCACCCATCCCATCCAGGTCTTTGCTCAGGCTCTTTTCTCTGCTGGGGACACCCACTCCTCTGCCTGGCTTATTCTGACTTTTCCTTGTGTCTCAGCTTCAACACAATACTCCGGGATACTTTCTCAAACATGCTGCACTGCTTCAGCCCTTTTCCTGAACAGTTACGCTCTGCACGTGAATTGCCTGGATACCCTTAACCAGATTGTAGACTCTTGAAAGGAGGAACCTGTGCTTTGCCTTGGTGCTCAGCCCACCCAGTGCCTGGTGCACAGTAGGTGCTCTTGAATCTTTGTGGAATCACTAAATGGATGCAGAGTCACAGATAAGCTCTTTTCTTCCCTGGACAGAGCTGACTCCCTTAGCACCAATTTTAGGGAGTCCATAAAAAAAATAGTAGTGTGATGAGGCTAAATGGAAAGACAATATAGCTTGGCAAGCAAGGAAGCCTCATTAGAATAATTAAAGGGACTATTAACCCAAACCAACCTAGACATAACTTAAAATGTGTTATGAACTAACTACTATGGAACATTTATTTGATGGCTCAAACATTATTAAGTTAGTAACCTCAATATGGTTCTACACCTCAATTTAAAGCGTTCGCATTTACATGCATGTGTGTCTTAAATCTCTAATTGGAATACTGAAAGGAATGCTTCAGAAATGACTTCCTTTGAATGCAAATAGCTATCCTGACCAAGAACACATTTAAATTGCATGTGAATATCTCTGGGGCCTTGCCCTTTGACTGGAAGAAGAGGAAGTTTTCTGTGCTACATGCAGGACAACCGTAGATGCTTGAAGATGCTCAGGGCACCCAATTGCATACTGGGAATTTGGCTATGCAATACATTTTCCTCTTATTATGCAACCTGTATTTCGCCAGGCATCAAAGTAAGATTTCTAATTGTCCTAAAACATTAGAATATGTCTGCCTGGGGACAATTAGAAATCTTACTTTGATGCCTGGCTATAAAATCGTATTTTTTTTGTTTTTATTTCCAATTTCTTTCTCCCCTTCAGCATTCACTGTAAAATATTGCCTACTACTGTAAGGTCTTCAGCTACGCTTGGTTTCTCTCAGGTCTCTAAGTGAATGTTTTGCAGAGAGGAAGGAGACAGGACCAGGGATTTAGAGCAGAAAAAACAAGGGAACAGTAGTGCAGATAAGGTTGCCAAGATGATAGGCAGAGCCTTGCTGGCTGCAGGAAAGTCTGGGATTTACTAGGGCAATAGAAAACAAATGGCCTAAACAAGAGGACTTCTTGAGCTCAAGCATTCAAGACTAGTCTGGGCAAATAGTGAGATCCTGTCTCTATAAAAACATTTTAAAAATTAGTCACGAGTGTGGTGGTACATGGCTGTAGTCTTAGCTACTCGGCAGGCTGGGGCAGGAGGATTGCTTGAGTCTAGAAGTTTGAGGCTGCAGTGAGACCACTGCACAGCACTCCAGCCTGGGTGACAGAGTGAGACCAGTCTAAAAAAAAAAAAAAAGATTCAGTGTTGCCACTGTTGCTGGATGAAGAATGGATTTAAAGGGGCACAACTGGAGGTGAAGAAGCCAGTTAGGAATAAGGATGTTGCACAGGAACCCAGGAAACAAAATGTGGCTGAGGGAGAGGGTGGTGATGAAAATGCAGAGGAGTGGGTGGACATATTTTAGAGATGGAATTGATTTGCTGGTAAGTTACATGGAGGTGGGGAAAGGAGGGATGTTATCGAGGATGACACCTAAAGGGTTTGTAGAGTTAGGTTACTTACTAAGGAAACTGCTTCTTGTATCAAAAAGGAGATAAAATTGGGGAAAAGCGGAAAAAGAAAAAGTTGCTACATTTTTTGGTTAATTCAGGGTAGTATTTATTTAATGGAGACTGGAATTGAAACTTGTAATTGAGAAAATAGTTAAATGACCCAAATGCTCCTTCTTGCTAATTGGCCCAGCTGCCAGCCGATTCCTCTCTGATTTCTAGTTGTTCTCCAGAAGTTGTGTGTATCAGGCTTGAAAATAGGATTCAGTTTGAGCGGGAACCTGGTCAGTTAGTGGTGGCTGGGAAGATTTCAAACCAGGCACAAGGGGAAAAGATGCAGTGTTTGTGAATGAATGGGAAAGGGACATGTCACATACTGGCCATCTGCAGTTTAAATCACACTGGATAGACTAGTGGTCTGCTTCAGGGAAGCATTTCCCTTTTTTTGGAGTTCAGTGAGAAATTCAGAGAATAAACTCCCACATCTTAGGGCCGATGTTCCTGATGCAAGACCATTGTCCCAGGGAAGTGCTTATCCTCGTTGGCCCAGAGTCTGACCAGGCCACTGCCTTGAGTGTGGGTGTGAGGATGGATGAACTGTACCCTCAAGTTCATCAGGAAGTGTTCTAAATCAGGACCTTAGCGGTAAATTCACTCAATATCTGGCTAAATATGAAGTGGCATCCTCTGGGGATTCTGGAAAGGGCAGGGAAGTCTTGCTTTAGTAAGGGTGCACGGAGACTCCGCTGGATTCTACACAAAGGGCCTGGGCTCCCTTGACTGTGCTCCCAGAACACAGTCACGGCTCAGGGCAT